ATCCAGTTGACATAATTAAATATTCACTGGGTAATTTTACACTTGAACAGATGTAGTACCCTATTGCTTCTATTTCTATAGCTTGATTTCTTTTAATCAAATAACGTGATTAAACCTGAATGCTGATATTTCCATTTTTCAACACTACAAACTTATTTGTGAGCTGAGACTTTAAAAGAAACTAAGTTACTTAACCAAATCTAAACTTTATTGATCAAAACTACTAAACATAGGTTGATCAGCAAAACAAGTTTTTAAAAACTCTGTGTACTTAATCTAGGTTTTTTGATCACCTGATCAGAAAATTGAAGTCATAGGATAAACAAGCAATAATGACAATTAATGTGGAAAGGAGGACTTATGAAGAAAAAATTCTAGGAGGACAGCTGAAGGCAGGATCTCCTTTTTTCAACTTCAACCTTTTGAGCAATCACAAATTATTGCTACTGTTCTTGTATCATTAGACCACTGAATAATAATCTAACAATGTTACTCTCTGACTGGAAGGGGTTTAGAAAGCCAACTAACTCTAGTCAGTTCCTCTGCCCAAGGATGAACCAACACATATATCAACCTGTTTACCTGTTTGAAGATCTTGTCTGAGAAAAAAATTCTAACAATTTGTATTAGAAAAAGGTAAAAATTAAACCTGAGGAATTTGCTTTTACTGGGAAAGGACAATCTGACCTGATTAGTTGGTCAGTCTTAAGAGTTCAACACAAATGCAGTTATATTACTTTCAAACACACACACTATTACCACCACTAGAGCTACCCATGTAGTTCCTTTCCTATCATATTTGCATGCAAATCGGTTAATAATATGATCTGGGGGATGCTTACAATTTTACTGGTGTTAGTGAAAAGGAAACAGATTTCCCTTGTTTCTGTTGTCAGTTTGCTTCAGAAATGCTCTTCATAGTAAATAATAGATGCTTCAGTACAGTACATCAAAGATAAAAAATTATAAAATAGGAGATTCATATCACTGAGTTTTTACTGTATTTCTATAGTTTATGAATCATCCTTGTAACTCATTTCTTTGTAGTTTATTAATGAAAAGTTACTCCCCACATAATACACTGGAATGTCAAACATTCTGAATACAAGATGTCAGTTTTGAAATGTTCTAAGGTAAAATAGCACTTCGAGAGGTATCTCCATTAGTATATCTCAAGATGTATTAAAATCCACTTGGCCGATTTATGGAGATAACACATGCAAATAAATATATGTATAAACAATACATTTATAGATTTTACCAATCACAGACGCAATAAAATACTTGTAAAACTTCAGCAAAAGTTCCTATTTTTACAAAGGGTTTTCAGAACAGCATACGGTACTTAATTTCTACTTTGTTTCCTTTTGGTATTACCCAGTAACTCTTTCCAAAACACTTATTAGTAATCAAATATTCTAGGCAACAATATTTTCCAAAATAATTTCCCTACATCTAAACTTCCCTTCTCTTTCTGCATTTGTAAAGAAAAGTGAACTGTGTCCAAAACACTCATCGGTACTTAAACTTTGAGTACCTAGGTTTTTTCATCCATACAACGGAAACTTAAAACTTACTTTGATCTTTTAAATCAAGGAAATTTGTGAAAAAGGTGACTTTAAAAGAAACCATTCTTCCTCTCCCCTTATTTTATTTAAAACGGAGTTTACAAGCATTAGCCTTTACTTGTACATCTTGAACGTTTTTGTTTGGAAATCAGATTTAGATCAAATCCTAAAAAAACCCATCACTGAATTATTTTAAACACAATGGATGAGTCACTGATTAATTTTCTTTAAAGGTTATCACTAATACACTCTTGCTTTCTAGGCCTCACAAGCATGTTAAGACTACTAAGAGCTATATTTAGATAACCAGCCAAACACACATCAGAGAAATTATTTCCATCAGAAGGCTTTATCCAGCCTTTTGAGAGAACGAAGGCCAATCGCTTTCTTTCTACTGTAATTCTAAACACCCACCTCTGCAGGTGTCAATTTTATCACTTTCCAATGTGGTATGTCACGCATGAAACAAACATATTTTTTAATGTTTGTATAACTATTCCTTAGAAAATTTTTAAAATAAATAAGCTCCATGTCTTTTTAGGTTGGGATGCAAAACATGAAATCTGTTTTGCTTCTGAACACCAAAACCTACCTTCAAATTGCCAGAGATTAAAAACCTGCTATTAATATGGCAGTATAAACTACCATATCTTCAAGGATTCCAATGTTAAGGGATAGTTAGTTAATTATAGCAACAACATTGTTGGGACATGTAGCACAGGGTCAAAGACCAAAAAAGATTCTATACTACTGATAAACCAGAAACCCAATCTTTAATACCTCTTATTGACAGTGTTGAAAGAATTCCTACAGAATTCTTGTAGAACTTAATCCAGTATCGTTTTACCTCTACTCTATCCTAGAAATCTAATATGTTCACATGATTCTGAAACCACTCAACAAGAGAATGAATGATGACTAGGCTAAATGTTAGTGCTAATGAACAATCTGCAATTAACCTTGACCAGAAGAAACACTAGTGAAATACTAAATTTACTAGTAAATACTAGCTTTTTAAAAGAATGTCCAACAACCATGGTACCTAATGTATTGTCATATGGCTGTAACATTGAGACAACATATATCATTAAATTTGATCATTTAGGTAATACTAATAAATTACTATTACTCTTAATTTTGGATCATACATGTACCTACATGCACACATACATCTGTACCAGTAACACATCATTCAGAAGAGCTGGCATAGTCCCAGGCTTTCCTCTAAATTCTCATACTTTACCATGCATCAGAATCACTTGGGGAGGCCTTTGTTAACAGACTGCTTGTTCCCACCCCACAGTTTCTGATTCTCTAAGTCTGTGAAGGGACGCAAGAATTTGCATTTCTAACAAATTCCCAGATGACGCTGACGGTCCAGGGACCACACTTTGGGAACCACTACTCTAAGTGAACTGTGATTCTCAGAAGCTACAGAAAGAGAGGACAGAGAGAGAGAGAGAGGGAGAGAGAGAGAGATAGGGTGGTGGGGGGGGTGGGGGGCATTGAGATTAAGCTAATAGGCAGTTCTGGGGAAAAAGGCAGAGGAGAAAAGTGAATTCAGATATTTCCCTCCTTCCTAATACCTGCCCTTTATCTTGCTGGTTAGTAAAGACTAAAGTATCAACAAAGGCTTCTCAAATGACAACTAACTTGGCCAAAACACAAACCTTTTCATGCTTAAAAGGTTAGATAGATTGTTCCCATTAAAAGTTTTAGAAAAATAATATTGCCAGAAACTCTTCAGCCTTTCAATACCCCTAGGTGGGACTACTTTCAAGAAGACACTGACGAGGCAGAGAAAGCTAACTGATGAGTTTTCTATATTAAAAAAAAAGTTAATGTTCACCAGTAAAACACGGGTGAGCAATGACAATCAACAAGCAACTCCTACAACGTGCAGAAAATCCCCACTACAGAAACAATATGACTATGTTTGGAATTTGTCACGCAAGGATTAAAATTTTATTTAAATATGTTTTTTCTTTTTAAGTTACTGAGCCATATAAAGGAAAATATTAATTTTATTAGAATTTGAACAAATGCTGCACAAAGAAAACATTTTAACAAAATAGTATGGTGGCATAAACAAAAAAGAAAACAGCCAAAGACGTGTAAAAGAAATAAAAGGTAGAAAATGTTAAATATCTCATGATCCAGTGTGGAAACATGGAGTCTAAACTTAAAAAACAAGGATTTTAAAAAAGCACAACCATAAAACAAAAAGTTAATGTTTGTGCTATCCTAACCAGACACATTCTTCAGCAAAACTTTAAAAGGCAGAGTTATATTTTACAGTATTTGTATCTTATTTCTGACTTTTTCACAGAAAGAGACTGTTTATGTAAATTCAAATCTCACAGTTGAAATAGTTGGTTTAAGCACTAAGAAATAAATATTCTTCTAATTAAAATGACAGGTGAGGCAAAACAATTGATTAGTCTTTAACGCTGTGCTTTTCAACTGTAATGAGGCCTTGATCCAACCAAAACAAGTCTTAAAGCAATTCAGAATTCTTTTGTAATGCCCAAGGAACGGCTCTGCCCTGCCCGATTGCCATACATGGGAATCAAGAACCTAGTTAATAGAGCATTCTCAGGGACAAATGTAGGAAGAGAAGACAAAATAGTTTTGAAGTTTTTTTAGCAAAGTAACTTGTAACCATTTCAGACTACCAAATGCCACAAGTTACCTAAATTATTTAAGTACAAGTCTCCATTTTTGCAATTTATTTCTTAATACTGATATACTCATTTTTCTAAACTGACCATATCAGGTTAATAACAGTATAAATCAATTTGAAAACTATAATAAAATACCTCAAGAATAGGTCTTTGAATATCTTTCTGTTGTATTTTGGTTTTACACAAAGATGCAATTCTTACTTTTTTGGTAGAGAAATCTATGGAATATTAACCTGCAAATGTTTTAAAGAGACTGTCAACCAAGACAGGTTTCTGCGTTTCATGATTGTCATCTTACAAAGATAGCAAGTGTCACATTTTAAAATGTCTTAAAACAACATAATTGTGATTTTTATAAACATCAAAAGGCAAAAATTTTAAACACTTGTGATAAAAAATTAAGCCCTTTGCATTCTGAATATCTGAAATTTATTCACGGAATATGCCCAATTCAATTCAAACTTAAGATGAGGTATACAGTCATCTCTCAGGATCTGCAGAAGATTGGTTCCAGGACCCCGCTACGGTCCCAAAAGTCACAGATGTTCAAGTCCCTTACATAAAATGGCATAGTATTTGCACATAACCTACGCATACTTCCCATATACTGGAAATCATCTCTAGATTATTTATAGTACCTAATGCAATATAAACGCTATGTAAGTAATTGTAAATATAATGTAAGTGCCATATAAATAGTCGAAGATGAGTGGCAAATTCAAGTTTTGCTTTTTGAAATTTCATGGAATTTTTTTTTCAAATATTTTCCATCCTTTGGTTGAATCCATGGATTTGGAATCTGCAGATATGAAGGGCGAACTGTATTTTCTTCTCTCCAAATATCAAATACCTAGCAAATATATAATACCATATACAGTTTCAAATTAAAGTAAATTCACAGGGTTCTTTTGTTGATTTTGCTTTAACCTGTCACGTAACAAAACACACTGCCATGAGTCTCTGGATGTGGCATCTAACCAAAAAAAAGCTGCATATGGTCAACTCTCTGTATGAGAGTTGTAAATATGTAAGGTGAAAACATTTTTGTGGACTATTTTTAAAACATGATAAATGGCATTATCAACATTACTCATGATTTTAAATATTATGTATATATTAGAGATCATCTACATATCAACAATTATATAAGGGGAGAACTAGAAAATAAAAACTTTATAATGGTCTTATGCAGTGTTTAAGCAATTGAATGTTTTCTGAATCTGAAAAGCCTATGATGTAAAAATTAGAATCAAAGTTTTGATTTTTGAATGCATAGGTTATAACCCACGGAAAATGAGGAATAAATGGTTTGGTCAGGATCTTGTTATTTAAGAAACAAAAAATGTAAGAACCAAAATATGCACACCACTAAAAATACTAATTCTGAAAATTATGTAGCTAAAAATTAAATCACCCTGTCCAGCAAGTTCCAAAAAATTCACACATTTCAAACATTAAGGCAACTTTTTTCCAACTAAACAGTACTTTATAAAAATATAGGTCACTTCAAAACATTATATACATAGTGACAATGAATTTAGCTAGCTGTAATCTTTAATACATTAATAAAGTGTCACATATTACCAAGAAATTATACTAGGTGCTTGCATGTATGTGCAAGTGGAATTATAGTATTTAAAGTACAGGTTTTAAAACTGAGCGAAGTGAACGTCCTTCTTTAGTGAGTTCTCGTGTCACACACATACACGGCAATGGGATTGCTTCCTCCCGTTTCTCTACAATATTGTAACTGCATTTCTTCAAGTGGTCAGCCATGCTTAGGATGTCAGCAAATTTCCATTCATTGACAGAACAAAATGCAGTACTGAATCGCCATACCTAGAAGAAAATTCTACTTCAGATTTAAACAAGTCAACTTACAAGAATCAAAACATAATTCTTGCTCTAACTGCATACATTTCTAACTGTTAAGAGAAATATCTAATATAAAGTTTCAAGTAGTTAGCTACAAAACTGGAAGTAGTAATCCATTTGGATACAAATCTGTTTATCAAATATTTGTAAGATAAATCATTCCTATGACATTATAACTTCAATAAATATAATAACCAAAAAGAAAACAAAAGACAAAGCTCAACATTGAAAATCACATCCAACCTGGCTTACTTATTAAGCAATTTTATAAAATATTCAGAGCTACTTCCTAAAATATTGCATATTGTACACCAGGCTTTCATCCCATCCAAATGTCTATATATATATATAGACCTATCCATAGTCTGGAGATATTGACAATACAAGTGTTTTTTTTCCTCCAAGTTTTTCTCTCATTCCTGTTACACCATATGAAGTATACTAAAAAATACTCTAGAATATTTTGTGCCAAGGTACTTTTTCTTTTCATTATTTATAAGTAGTAAACGCACTTAGTAATAACGAGGAACACAAGTGCTTCAATTTGTTCAACATGTTTCTGGAAATTTTTATAGAGCTTTTTGTAAAATGAATCATTTTTTAATTCCATATCATTGTAAAATACATTTCTGGGAAAAATATCTATATGCCATCCCTGTTTTGGTAAAAATAAGAACTGCTTTCCCTTTTGCCCACTCAGCAGCTCCAAGCCCTGAAGCACTGTCACCTTATAGGTCCAGCAATGACTGTTGTTGCCCCCTCTCAGCTTTACAATTTGAAAATATAAAGTTACCTGAACATAGGTAACAAGCAAGACAGGCCCAGGCATCCTAGCTAAGCTAATCAACAAGCAAATGTCTAGAGAACACTGAACCCGTGGCAAACAGCAGATACTCTAGAAAGCAGCTGTGAATTTGAGAGAAGCCCTCAGCACTCATTAGAGCTTCTCAGAAAAGAATGCTATGAATTCTGGGGTGGCCAGATGCCTTCAAATTCTGAACACAATTATTTTTCAGCCAGCAGTAGAATAGTTCAGCACATAAGGTACTTAATCGCTATACTTCTTAAGTTGGTATCAATTACCCTGCATGGAGTCATTTCCCAGATGTCAGTGAAGGCCTGGACAGTAGCTAACAATAGACATTATAGATTACAATTCCCCATAACCACAAAACTATACTAAGAATTAGGAGTTTTTGTTAAGCTTCACAGAATGAATTTGCTGAAAGATTCAATGGTGGCAGACAGTTTCCCTACTTCCACACAGTCAAGAGTGTGGTGAAACCAACTCAGGAAAAAATGGACAGCTCCCATCTCCTGATGACAAGGTTTCTTCGTCATGGGCCAATTTTGCATCCAAGTATACATCAAGTATTTACTTAGTGCCTGCTATATGGGAGGTGCTATGCAAAGCAGTTAATATTTTGGTTCCCAGAGAGTCTCACTTCTCAATGAACTTACAGTCTAATGAAAAAAACTGACAAGTCGTCAGTGAATTTCCAAACAGCATGGTCAGTGCTTCAGTATGAGTACATAGAGTAGGAGGTACATAATAGAACACCAGGAGAACACAGAGCAGTGCACCTCCCTAAGGGCTTCAACAGGGTCGGAGTAGGCTTTCTTGACAAAGTAAGATCTGAAGAGTAAGCAGGATATAGCAATGAGATAATGATCACAACCTCCAGAAATAGGTTCCCAGGGTCTGAATCCACCAACTGGACAAGAGTTACTTAACCTCTCTAAACCACAGTTTCTTCATCCATGAAATAGGGACAGTAGATTAAATACATTAACAAAAGTAAAGTACACACTGCCTAGAACATCTCAAGTGTTCAAATGTAGGTATCAGGGACAGTGTACTCAAACACCTTAAGGCAAGAAGAAAACATCAGAGAACTCTAAGTAAATTCCATGGCTGGAATATAAAGTGACAAAAGGAAACTGAAGAGGTAAGTGAGGACAAGATTATGAAAAGTCTTAAATGTTTCATTAAGGAGTCTGCCTCTACCCCAGGGCAATGGATGGACATTTAAGAAGTTTTCAGGCACTACAGCATAAGAACTGTATTTAAGAAATTATTTATTACTCTACCTCTTCTATAGAGAATATGTTGGAGAGGGACTCAGCTGGAAACAGAAACCCAGTAAGGAAGAGGCTACTGTAGTAACCCAGGAGAGAACTACAGGCGGGACTAACTAGGGAAACCGCAGTAGAAACAGTAAGCAAACCTGAGAGGTTATGAAGAAGGGGAGACAACAGGACTTTGTGATTACCTGGATATGGAAATAAAGGGGGGGGTAAAAAAGGGTCAACCTTAACTCCCAAATTCCTAGTTTAGGCAGCTTCAGAGATGAAAATGCCATTTTCTGAGATTAAGAGGGGTAGAAAAGTGGAGTAGGTTGGACCTGTTGAGTTCGCTGAAGCTGTGACATAATCAAGTGCAGATGTCCACTAGATGCTTGTATATAATGGACTGGAGTTCAGAGGAGAAAATGGCCAGGATATACACACGTAATTTGAATAAATGATGGCAATTCAAACTCTAAGAGTAGATGAGGTTTTCTGCAGCAATAAAATCCCCAGAAAATATTTTACCTCATAGGTCAATACTGGGGGGGGGCAAGGACAAAAACGGGCCATGCTCTGGTGTCTCATCCCAAATGGCAGAAGGACACCAAATCATGTAGAAAATGAAAATACACACATACCCACATATATGCAGCAAGTATGAAATTTTCTACATAAAATAATTAGCATGCTCATTTACTGGTCAAAGCTTCAGGAGAACACAAAAGCAGATGCAGAATTCTGAAAAACTGGAGCAATGAGTGGAAATAAGAGAAAACCTAAGGGTGGTAAAAACAAAGTAGCCAGAAATGTGAACCCTGTTCAACCAATGTGAAGTTTATCAAATTTTTTTCTACTTTATAAAATCAAAGTTTCATATTATAAATGTTCTAAAATGAAAAAACACCTTCAATCAAAGGTATTTGTAATGCCTTCTAGTTTCTATTGGATAGTACCTCAAACAGAAGCTGGGCAAAAGTAAGATATCACAGGAGGAAAATGCTGGAGCCAGGATTTGTTCCCAGTCTCCAGCTCAAGCTTCCAATCTGCAACACTCCCTTGTACTGTACTCAATGCAGAGTCAACAATATCAAATCCTACTGCCCTTATCTCACCTCAGCCTAACACATTTCCACATCCATCCATTTACATTCTCTATACCCCAAACACTCCATTGGTCACTTACTCGGAGTAGATTTTTTTTCATGTCTCCTTATTTAAGTTCTCCCTGTAATAACCAAGTTCTAAGAAAGAAATTGCTAAGAATGGACCAAAACTGCCAATTGCAAGCAGTAAAAAACCTTCTCCTTGCTTCCTCCATTGTCCTATAGTGAAAATGTTTCAGATGGAGCCCAAATTAGAAGGTGGCTAACATGGACTCAAGCAAAGGGAGCTGTTACAGAAGAAGTAACTAGATACAGAACCCCTCAACTGAAGAACTGGAAGTGGCCTCTGTCGTATGACATCAGAATCTAGTTCTAGGATGTCTGCAGTAAACATGTGATTATGACTAACTATTCTTGCTTTCATTATCATTATAAAAAAGTTTGTCATCATACTGAATTATTACGTTTTAAGGATGGTCTATTTTGCAACAAGGTTAATTTTATTAATTCAGCAACAACATTATTAAGTGCCTATTATATGTCAAATAAGGGACTGATACAATTAAATTAAACCAACCTTTTCTTTTATCTGCCATGATGAATTTCCTTCCGGATACTTCCTTTTCCCCCACTGCAGTATGACCATTCCACGAGACTGAAGAAGACTGCCACACACATCCCTCATTAACTTGGATACACACGAGAGCTGGCATAAACTGAAGCCATCAAGAAAGCCTGCAATATGCTGCAGGACTTCAAAAGGAAGACCACTTAGATGGTCACTATGTAATCCCAACACACAGTTTCTAGCAGGCTCCACTAACACTGTAGATACAGATGGCTGAACTCCAAATGACCTCAAATGGCGGTCATGTATAATCTTTGCTCCTTGTGTTGATGGACAAAATCTACGCTGAGAATAGGTACAACCATAATATGCTAAAGGGCACCTCTGTTCCATCCAGCCATTGAGTCCAGCATGAATGTCACCATGCACGTTCTTAAAATGCGATGAAAATTCTTTTCTTCTAAATAATTGTCCACAAACAAATGTAAACATTGGACGCTGCTTGGGTTGGTACCTAGCGACACATTCCAATACTAAATCCAGCCCAAGTGTCTGAAAAGGACTTGGATTTGAAAGCTGTGGGTTGGCATGATCACAAGCTGAAGCTGAAGCTATTTCCCCAACCATTGTATTTGTAGCTAATATGGCAGAAGGAAGTGAAAAAGTCTGAGTCCCAAAGTCGATGTGATAAACATCAACCATGCGGCTATCAGATATACCCCTCCCACCTGGAGAATCTCCTAGACAAAACAGTAATGCTGCTGTGATTAGATCTATTCCTTGGAGACCCATTGGATCTTCTGCAACTTCCAAATCTGATGTGTCTACTGCTTTATCTTCCTTTGGTTTAGACCAACATGAATTAGAAAGAAATTTGAATGAAGGAGGATGGCTGAAAGATAAGACATCCACATTCCTTAGGTCCCCTAAGTCTACTTTTTTCCAACACAAGTCTTCATCGTCATCTGGCATGAGGATATGCTGAACTGTGCCATTAGGCAAAGCATTAGATGGTATTACTTCCCTAACTTGTGCTGCTACTGAAAGTGAACTAGAAGGTTCTGAAGGGCCATCTGATGCTACACATTCTCTATTCGTTAAGTTACTTTGTTTTGAGTCACTATGTAAATTCTGATTCTGCTCAATGACCTGTGTACATATATTTTCCAAAGGAAAGCCATTACAAAGAGCAGAAGTGCCATAAGAACTGGCATCCAAGTCACATAATAAATCACTTGAACCATTTTGTTCAGACTGGGCATTCTGACTTGCGTCATTATGGTCAATCCCACCTACTGCTCCTATCTCATCCTCATAAAGATGGTCCTGGTCTTTCAAGTTTCTGTTCTGTAAGCTTTCTCTGGCATTTTCTTCTTCTTTCATTTCATCTGGGGAAGCACAAAGACTCGTACTTAACATGCCAACGTCTCTTGTGGCGGTATTCAGGATATCTAAAGCAACAGCCAAACTTCTGGTTGTTTCAACAGTAGCTTGGTAAAGTGCACCATAAGAGTCTTCATCAACAGACACCAAACCATTAGTATGTGGTATTTCTGGGACACTTGATTTAACTGAGATCTGTTCTCTAGGTTCTGATACTTTATCAGTTGCTTTTGACATCATGGTGGCTACTTTGAGAGACTCTAAGAGCATCCTTTGGTCTTGAAGGGCCAAGGCCATATCTAATTGTGCCACTTCATCAACATCTCTGCTTAGATTTTCATACGATTTCCGGTCTGCATAACTAACTGGCCATCGGTTCCACTCCATAGTACAGCACACCACACTTGCAGGACACATTTCTAGATGTTCGGCAACTTTATTTCGAGCCATTGTAAATGGACATCCAAAGTCACTATTTAAGCAAGGCACTCGTTCCAATGGACATAAAAGTCGATGCTCATCAGCTTTACAAGAATGGAAAACTGCTCCACAAACCAATGGACAACCTATCAAGTCACAGGAAATCCCAGGCTCTGGTCTGGTCATACACCGTCTACTGACACAATTCACGCAGTGAGAGTGCTGCAGCCCCTCCTCCATAATGGCCAGTCCAGCTCTAGCTACTGAGATGGAAAAGAAAGAAGAAGTTAGGCAAAAAGTGGTCGCTTTTTAAAAACTGTTTTAAGGAAAAACATCAAATCATGAAGGTTTATTGGCTTATATGAGGATGAAATATATAAAATAAACATTTAACAAGTTTATTTGACATATAATCAATCCATCTTGAAACAGCTTAAGCACTTTAATTCAAGAAGTCAGTCAAAAGTTCATTTTTATATACCATGTAACAATCTGCCCAACAGGCCGAACATTTCAAAATATAATACTTAAATTCTAGTATATTGTGTAGTATATAAATTAATGCCCCAAACCAGTTAATGAATATTTAACTTTTAGATTTCAGAGAATGCTTCAGCTTTTACCTTTTTAATTTTAACTAAACTGATTATGATGCGCTCCACATTGCAGAGACCTCATCATATTCCTAAAAGAGAATAATCTGAATTTCATGAATATACTTAACTAAAACCTGATTAGATGTTTTCTTTAATATTCCCTCCAAATACATAAACTTATGTAAGATTTCATCTACCGACCTCTCTTTCTACCTATGCCTTAATAAATTCTACAACAAATAAAGAGAGTAAGCCTTAATTAAAACAAAGAGGGCATTTATCCAAAAAATATAAGTTCTAGCTCCACTTCTGTGGCAGTGGACGAATCACTTCCTTCTGAGGGCCACAGTTTCCATTCATTCATTCAACACCTATTTATTGTTTAACTGCCATGTACCAGACTCTGTGTTTGGTATGGCAACGTGAAGATTAGAAGACATGGTGCCTCCTCTCAAGGAGCTTCAGCAGGAGGTCAGAGATGAAAATAAAATCATGTCACATTTTTATATGATCAATATGACAGGGAAAATCAGTATGGGTGGGGGGTAGAGAAGAGTTCACAGTAGTCTTGAAAGATGAGAAGTCTTAAGCGCAGGAGGGTAGGGTTAGAAACGAAGAGAGGCATTCAATGCTGAAGTAACAGCATATGCAAATACAGAAAAGCAAGAATTCGCAAACATGTTGAGGGAACCTCAAGTTTCCCAGTATTGCTGGATCACAAGGTGAAATGCAAAGTAGCTGTGAGAGATGAGGTGGGACAGGAATAAGAAAAGTTATGGAAAGTGTGTTATACGCTACTCTAAGGAGTTCAGACTTTTAAGCAGTTAGAAACCACTGAGGATTTTAAGCAGAGAAGTAGTACCCACAAAATAACACGAGAGGGTTACAGGTAACTAATGTTCTTTCCTGCTTTTAGCAAGAAAAATTTTATACAAAAAAAGAGAAAGTATTGGCACAATGCACTGATTTACTTATAATTACTTAGCCTATTCAATGTCTTATTTCTATAATCTTCAACTTTATTGGCTTGTTCCTATTAGCAGCAAAAACTTAAAAGACTATTTCATCTTTAAAAACATATATAATAAAGCAATATCCCCCTTTTGCTGTTTTTTTTCCTTTTCAGTCAAGCTTTCAAAAGAAAAACAACAAACAAACCCCGTTAACTTCCCATATACTCTTCAGCCCTCTAATGTGTGTTTACTCTTACCACCACTCATTAAAACCGCTCTATGGAGATCCTCAATGCTAAATCCAAAGGGCATTTTTTCCAGACCTCATCTTCCTTAGCCATTATATCATTTTGTTGACTAATTCCTCCTTTCTGAACTACTATCTTTCTTTAGTTTTTATCGTTTCACATTTCCCTGGTGTTCCCCCTACCTCTTTGGTTATTCCTTAATCTTTTCTTCTAAAATATTACTCTTCTTCAGGGATCCATGGCATTTCTGGTTCATTCTATACATTCTCCCAATTTCTCAAAAGCTTCAATTACCACTTATATGCTAAAAACTCATCTATACCTCCTGCCCAGATCCCTCCTCCAAACTTCAGATCTCTACAGCTGCTTATTTATTATATATCTCTACGTGTATATGGCACAGGCAACTCACCTCAAATTTTTCCAAATTAAATTAATAATAATTTTCTGGATAAGAAGCCGATTCTTAGCCTATTTTCTTCACTTTAGTGCATAAAGACTTGCTAGTTCTCTCACATATTCTCTTCCATAAATTCTATCTTACTTCTAGGTGGCTAATGTAAACTAATTATTCCCCAAATTGCTATTTCTTTTTCTCCAGTCCAGGCTTGATTTTCCTCAAACTCAAACAGCAAAAGTCTATTATTGACAGAGCTTTGTTGATTAAGTAGAAAAGTTCTGAGTTGATATTATGGTGTGAACTGATGCTAGGGACAGAAAAAACAGGGTACACACTTAACAACAAAACTACATTTTAAAACTGTGTTTAAAAATTACAAATGAATTAAATACTTCTGAATGTTTATCCCTATAAATTTTAAAGCTAAAGACAGAACCTATAAATTGAAGATAGACATGCTAAAAAGGGTCAAAATAGAAGAAATGACAGACTAATGATGACATTTGTAAGTTAAGCAAAGAGAAACTTTAATAAGAATCAAGACAAATTTTACTGGGTTATTAGATTGTGAAAACAGCTGTAGCTTTCTTATTTTACAACAACTAGACTGAGTTCATCTCACATGCTGAAGGTTATAAACGTGACTAACAGAGAAACCTAAAAACACAAGCAGTTCCAACAGAAGTGACCAAGGCTCTCAGAACTAGTAGGAACACCTTATGTTACATGCACATCACATGATTATACCAGGCAGAACACATCTCAAAACATGCTTAATTCAAAAGTGTTTAAAATAGCAACTGTTACAAACAACTGAGTTAAATGCAAAACAGCAACAACTTTGAAAGGTAAATAGAAGTAGAGGGCTCTCAAGATTCAAAATAAATACCCTCTTCCACACTATTCCCCCTCTGAATAAAAGAAATGATTAAAAAATAATAGTAATAAAAATAAAAGCACCCACAGCAATGAGTCCACAACATTTATTATTTACTGAAGTAGACTTAAAGGAAAATGGAACACTATGTCCCTACTTTATCCTTCTTTGTAGAATCATGTCAATGTCACTTAATCCTCATAACAACCCAGAGAAAACTGAGGTACAGAGAGGGGAAGTGACTTACCCAAGGTCATCTACCTAGTAAGTGGCAGAGCTAGGATTGAAATCTATATCTCATCAATACATATGGACGATAACAGATATGCTTATAAAGTTTAAGAAAATAAGACAGCACTTCAGTAACTTGGTGATCCAATTTTAAGATGGTATTTGAGGAATGGAGGTTACACAACTTTGCTTGCAGTTTATTCCAACACTTAATCACCCTTGTGGTCAAGAGAGTCTTTTTGGTCCTTTCTAATTATAATAGCACATTACTTTGCTTTGAACGTAAGAGTTTTAAATTATTTTAAAAATAACTTACATTTATAATGCTCAGTATAAACATATGAAATAGTACAAATTTAACCATTCTCAAAACAGCTATACAAAGAAGGAACCAAGTTTAAGTCCATTTTACAATTAAATATATTAAGAAATAAGTTTTTTAAAAATGCAGTAGACAATACCCAAAAAGTATTCTGGGGTACTGTTTCAGAATTTAAAAGTTCCAGATCCACCCTCTTTCAAGATCGCTATTATCAAATTAAATATGCCTCCAAAAAGTATTGCACAATTGCTCACAAATCCTATGAAACGGGTTTAAAATGTCAATCCCTGATTTATCAGCTGAACAGTGACACAGCAGGTCCAGCAGAAAACTTGTTGCTAAAACTGAGGCTTCAAGTTCAAGACGAGCTTAATTTAAAACTCCTCAGTATTAACTTTTTTAAAATAAACTCTCTTGAAAAAGAATCTTAACGTTCCAAATAACATATCTATTTACACTTAAAGTTGAATGACTGGAAAAAGTTTCATTAGACTAGAAAATACTGTAAAAGATTAAATGCTTTACAATAGTTTCAATTTTCTCTAACAGAAATTCTAGGCCAACTCATAATCTGTGGCTGACAAGCAATCCATAAAAACAATTTAAGGCATGGCATTTTCACATACAATGAAATGAGACTTTGTCATTTAAGGCTATTTCTAGACAGAAAGATATTGCCCTCAAAAAAGAATTCCTTTATTTTTCCAAATTCATTACAATACATAAGGCGATAAATAAATAAAGCACTGCAAATCAGCACGATTTTAAATATGCTAAATCAAGTCACCCAAATATTCAACACAGCTTTTAAGGCTGTTCTTAATGTCTGCCTCTGCCTCCAAGAGACAAACAGACACACACACACATACACACTCCTTTACTTCCCCAACTGTTACCGCAAATCTTTATCAGCTTAAATGTCACTTTTCCACATACCCAAAGGCAAGGTATGGTATGGATTCTGTATTATACTTATGTGCTCATTACACACTGCATTTTTCCTTGGTAATACTAGTCATAACTTGAAGTAAATCGTTACCCTGTTTAATATCTATCTCCACGGGAAAACTACAAGCTCCACAAAGGAGGCACCATCTCTGTCTCATTCATTCCTGTGTTCCCTGCATTCAAAACTGTGCCTCAATTACAGCTTCACCTATCGAAAAAACATGAATAAATGAAATTATTATAATACAAGAAATAACCAGATGGATTCCAAAACAATTCTTGACTTCATGGAAAACTACATACTTCATAAAAAGACACTTTATAAATCTAGAATTAGTCAACCAGATTGAGTCAAAATTACCTCATTGTATCAGCTACAAAAAGTCAAAATTACTCAAACATTTATTGAGTATCTAGGTGATATGTTCCAGGCATTTTATATGAAATAAGCTAAACTGTCCATCAAAAAAGCAAATTAAAGGGAAAAGTAAATTAAGTAAAATTAATTTCAATATTCCATTGTTTTAAAATCTTAAAAAATAATAGTAATAAAAGTCACAAAAGGAAACATCTACCTGTTTATTGTTGCACTATTTAAATTCCTTAATCAACCCTGCAGTCTGGTTACAGGTTACTGACTATAGAGGCATTAGATTCAAAAAGAAAAACAGAGGTGGAGGTGTCTGCAAGTGTGCAGCTGCCTGAGTATATAGAGGGTGAGGAAAGGAAGCTCAGAAAAGGAAGTGGCGTCAGCCTACTTCCTTAATATTACAATTAATATATTAGATAAAAAAGAATTCCACTGAGACAATAAAATGTTGCTTCAATGTAAGGCTGAAATGGAACTATAGACAGACTTGTTCAACTAGTTAACCATAATCACAAGTAGGTCTATGACTGAAATTTCATACTTAGCAATCACTTTTAATTCCTCCAGAGCAAGTCTCATCCTTCTTGTATAGTTGGAGGTGCTACTGCATAGTAAATACAAACATCTGCTGGCTGATTTACTGATCAGGTGCACTCAGTTTTAAAAACCATAATAAATCTACAACCTCAGTTGGATGTTTTATTTAACTGGTTTAAAAAAGGGGGATGAGGTGCCTAGACAAGATTGAAAATCCAAGATCATTAAACTCCCAACTCAAAGCAGTGCCCTACTGATGAGTCCAAAATGGCTAAATTGGTTACACTGTATACATTCTTTTATTAAATTTTGGTTCTGACTTTTTATTTACAGAATGATGACCTAATTATATGGAATTTTGTTTTCAACTTTTCACCGTTCCATTTATGATATAATCAGAACATACCTCTTCCATTTCTAAATATGGACATGGGTAGCTTATTCCAAAGTGGAAGTCCTAACTACGTGCAATTGTTCTCCACTAAATAAGCAAACAAAATTACTGCAGACTTACATCAGAAATTAAAATAACATATATTAATAAATATTTAATATTCATACCAGAAGCTATTTGAGCTGAGACTCAGATAAAAATAATCCGCCCAAATGGTGGAACTCAGCTTATTAAAAGGGGCAGCATGGCACAGGGGAATATGGGCTTCCAAGGAATCTCAATTTGAGGTGACCTTGAGGTAATTACTGTGCTGTGAAAACAACCTCGTACTCCACAAAAGTCAGCTATAGTATTCGTGTGTCCAGCAAGATACAAACACGCATTCCTCAGAAAACGGACGCACCCCGCTTTACACAACCGCCACATCCGCATGCACAAACCGTTACGTACAATCACTTTTACATCAGGTCATTTATACTTAGGAAGCTGATTAAAAGCAATCATATGAGGAACTACCTGATGCTAACATTACCCACTCTTAAGAAAAAGACATACCCTTTTTGTAAAAGATTTTCACAGATTGGGCTGTAATTAAGAGATGCTCATCTGTATTTAACTATCTAGTTATCTACAGTGTAAAAACCACCAGTCCAAGGTCAATCCCACCTATTTCATCAAAATAAATTTGAAATTAAATAATATTTTATACAGCCTTTTGACTGATGACTTTAATATTGATGAATTCTACAAATACAATGTCATTCCACAGCATGGTAGTCATGGTAACTTAGTTAAAAGATTTATCAAAAACCATACAGAACACCATAAGGCTGATGCCATTAAAAGTCACATTTCAGTAATATATCAAACAGTAAACACATTAAAAAGGTCTATTTTGGTGACCTTAAAGCACCTCTCTAACTATATACATTATCTCAAAATACGTATTATTTTTCTTCAACAGCGTATTTTATTAGGACACTTTGTATATTTTTTTAAAAGTCTCCAATGCTAACCATAGAGAAATACTGGATTGAAATTAAATATCCAGTACACTTGGAATGCATAAAAGTTTGCCTATATCGGAAACTTCGGTTCTCTGGTAACACAAAACTCCACCCACTAACATTTCCAGAATCACACACTAAAAAAAGCTATGTCACCGCATTACACTACCAAATAAAAACAAATTGACAATTTAAAAAGTTAGCAAAACACCATATTATCCCCAATTAAACTTCTGTAGTAAGAAACAGTGACTAAGCATAAAGAACAGTGATTCAGCAAAAACTGCATACTGAAAAACTGAACCCTTAGAAAAACCCTCATCTTACATTTTATGCTACTCTTTTCCCTTCTGCCCGTCAACAACTTTGGAAAAGCTTAATAAATATGAGCAAATACAAAATTCTGTTAATATAATTCACTAGGTCTCTAAACGACACAAAACTGTATTGAAATGTAGCAAATAGAAATTAAAAGCTAAGAAAGCTTGGGGTTTTGTATTTACAGTTTTAAGTTAATCTACAATGATTACCAGCATGCCCATAAATAACTTCATCTTGGATCCCAGTCAACAAAGTAATTTTGGAATAAAAGGTCAATTCCTTCCCAAGCATCTTTTATCCGAGACTTACGACATGGCTCAGAAAGAAAAACAAGACACAGGGAGAGGGGAATGGAGTACCAGAACCATGGTAAACAACACGCTGTTCTGTCTCTATTCTCTAAATACACGTGTAAAAAACATACTCAAAGGAGATTAAATTCAACGTGCACTCTACGGCCCCCTTCGAAGCAGTGCACTTCCACGAGACAGGACACAAATAACTTGTAAATGGTCACACGCCTCAGATCTATAAAATCAGGATGTTTCTCTTTAATAGGGACTGAGGCTAAGACTAAGATCCTCTCACTTCCATGAATGGAAAAGTTACCAACTTCACTCATTCCGTGGAGACAGTTGATGATGCCTCCCAAGCTTACTTTAACCCGTCTGTCCCCAAACAAAGCAAGTTTCTAAAGGGCAAAAGGAAAGAGAAGCCAGGTTTTCGAGGTTCCTGGGGCTCCCTAAGTTTAACTCCGGCGTCACCCCTCCCCAACACACAGACACGCGAGCCCGGGTGCCACTGGGGTCGGCCCTCGGGGCCTGGGTCGCCATTTGCTGGAGGCCTCCACGGCGGGCCGGGCAGCGGGCTGGGCGCGGACGCCCACACCGCCGACTTCCTCTCGGCGCCCGGACGGGGTCGCGTTTGCTCCGCCCCAGGCCCGGCCCGCCGGCCCCACGGCCGCCTGCGCCCCGGCCGCGGGCCTCGCACTGCCCGGCCACCGCCTCTGGCCCCGGCGCAGCCCGGACGGCGCCGGCCTCCCGGGCGGGCCTCCCCGACACTCACCGGCCGGCCCGGCCGAACCGCGGCCCAGACCCTGGCTGCCGTGGCCGCCGTGCCCGGCTGCTCCCCGCTGTCCCGGCGCCGCTCCGCGCCCCACACCCCCGTGCAACCCGCCTCCTGCTCGCCTTTCTGCCCAGCCGGGCCGCCGCCTTTTCCCTCCCCTGTCTTCCTCCTCCTCCTCCTCCTGCAGCTCCTCGGCCTGCTCTCCCGGTGGCGGTCCTCCCCCCCCTCCCCACCCCGCCCAGCTCTGCCCCGCCCACCCGGCCGGGCCCCGGGGCCCGTGGCAAGCCGGGCGGAGACGCGCACGCCGAGCCCGAAGGAGACGCTCACGCCGAGCTCAGCGGGGACGCGCACGCCGCCCACCGACACTCCCCCGCCTCCCCGGAAGGGAAGTGACTGAGAGTCAGGTCCAGAGAAGTGTAGTCTCAGCGCCTCCCCCTAGGGGGTTCCCACCGGACCCCACGTGGCTCCTGCCCAGCAGGTCTACCAAATCCTGTTCGATTTTAGGATGCTGTATTCCTGAAAGGAATCCTAGACACGTAGTTTTGGAAATGAGGAGAACAGGCCCAAGAAGAGTGACTTGTTTAACTCCCTAAATGGTAGGAGAAGCAGCCCAAATCCCTTAACTCTGGGTGCATCGGTCTTCCCATTAGGTCACATTTAGGAAAAAACGGGGCAGCTGTCCTTGAATCTTTGATGATCAGGCCTTCCTGCCGGCTTACCGAAAGTGCCCCAGTCCCGTGACTCAGTGCCCGGATTCTTGTAGGTTCTACCTGACCTGGGACCGAGCTCAGCCCAACAGGATTCAGGCGTCGCGAATCTTTTCTGGAGCCCTGGCAGGGCAGCCCACCAAGGTCTGCTTCTCTGAGGGACTGTAATCCTCCACACAGACCACAGCAGGGAGGTTGTCTACGTGGGAAAGACAACGCGATCTAGTGGAAAGGTGGCTTGAAGCTGATTTTGCAGGATATTTTACAAAAGGATTGAAGAAATGTCACAGGGCCATATCAAAGAATTGGGGTCCACTTCCCCGCTACTACTACCATGCCTTGGTCCAAGGCCAAGGGACAGAAGGGACAGTGATTCCAAATGCTGGGAGTAGGTGTCCCTCATCCCCTCACCTCTACCCCAGTGTCCATCCCTGGACTCCTGCCCAGTTCTAAGGCAAGAAAAGGATAAAGAGAAGACGGCTGTAGTCCTGCCCTTGCCGACGGGGGCAGAGACAGGAAAACACTGTTCTGTAATTCTTTGTGTGACTAGGTTTTTACCCACAACTGGTGTGACTTGGAAAAGAGATCACACATGATTCGTCATGCTGAGAAATGGCTCTCAGACATTTAGATTTTAAAGAACTTTTTTTTTTTTTTTGAGCTGGAAGAAGAACTTAAATTACTAGTTTTTAATTGTGCTAAAAAAGACAGTAAAGATTGTACCATTCGTATTAGTGCTTCATTTCCTAAATGAAAGGAGATTGTAACACCAATTATTAAGCAAGGACATAATCACCCAGTAAAGGTTAGTTCTTTAAATGAATAATTTTAGCTTTTTGAAAAATTCAGTCTATTTTTCTTATTTTGCCTAATTTGGCTGCAGATGGGCCCTTAGTCCCAAGTTTGAGAGCCACTGTCCAGAGAACTAGACAGAACAGATAGTGAAGCAGGCAGATGACCCTGCAGGAGAAGACGTGAGTTCCAGCTGCTACACTTGTCCTCCTTTGTTCA